CGGTGTTGCTCCCGCACCTCGCTCAGCCAGTGAGCGGGAACCGGTCTGTATGTGGGATCCGAACCCTCGGCGGGAGCGCCACCGCGCTCTCAAGCGGCGCACTGTAGCAGTGCACCACCGGGCCGGTCCCATAACTCATAATTCTAACGAAGGTTGTGGTTTCCCACCCTCCGGAATCTCCCAATATCAGATGTATCTTAGACAAGGAGAAGTCCTTCTATGGTGACAGCAGTCCACAGTGGGTTTCTCTTAAGCCAAACTCATTTCAAACCTATACTTAAGGATTCTCTGGAGTTTTAAGATACTGGAAAATAAGTATGGGGTCCTCTACATACTTGCTTTCTGGAATGAGTGTTTGGGCCATAGAGTACATAACTGGATTGCATCTTAGGGCTTATTTATGACAGCTCTCACACTCTCTAGGAGCAGCACTGTCCATCAGAACTCTCTGAGATGATGGAAATGTTCTATGTCTGTGCTGTTTGGTATGTTAGCCACTGACTTCTTGTAATGTGGCTAGTGCAACTGAAGAGCTCAATTTTTAATTTCAATTAATTTCAATTTAAAGGGTCATACGTAGCTAGTAGATGCCACTACAGCTCTAGAGGGTGCCCTTTGACCAAATGTTTAAAACATCAGTAACTAAACACACTGGTTTATGAATTTATTCTAAAAAATATATACTTAGAAATAAAGTTGTTTGTGTTTTGCTTGATTTTACACAGTGTAAACTAGAACAGTTAGAATCACTGTTAAAGGGTACTTATGAAAATAAGCAATACCCAAACTTAAAACAAAAAAGCTTCATTTTATCTGGTATAATCATTATATATACGTTTTATCATATTTTAAAACTTACAAAATCAGATTCTTCAGGTCAGAGGAATAGTTGATTGTCACCAGTTCCATGGCTTTCTGTAAATTCTCTCGCTGAATTCCTGCCAAAGAGTTGCAAGCCAAAGCCAACACAACTTTTCCTAATGATATCAGATCTGCTTGCTGACATGAAAGAATAAATATAACTTAATTTTTACTTCATAGGTACACATTTAATACACTGACACTACTGCTTAAATGGAAAAGCATCGTTATAAATAAGATGCAGAACTTAGGACAGGGTTCTTAAATACTGGCACTCATCAGAATCACCTGGGAGCTTATTAAAAATAAGATTTCCTGAGGCTCTCCACCAGATTCTCAATCAATGGGCCTGGGAACAGGACCAACATTTTTAAAGCACCCAGGTAATTCTGATTAAGGTAGCTTTAGGGTCACATTTTAAGAAACATTACTCTAAGCAATTCACATGCCAACTACAGAACTGCTGCCTTTTAAAGTTTTTTTTAAAGTTTTTATTTAATGTTTTTATTAAATAAATAGGTATCCTGTTTTTACAACAAATATAAGGTAACTATATACTTGCTTTACTATAATAACCACAAGTTAAGATATACACTTTTTTCATTTTCCATGACTCCCAGAATATAGTGGAAGTGTGAAGAATTATTTGAAGAAAAGTTATCCCATTACAAACATAAGCATTAACTTGATTTCAGAGCATGTTCTCTAGAACACTGAGAATGCTACAAACCTCACTGACATCCTATCTGTCTTTGTTTCCAAATAGACTATTTTTACTCACAATATAATAGATCTTTGAGCTCTAGACACCTGCTTTCCTTTTTTTTTAAGATTTACCATTCTGAGGCTTTCTTTCCAAAATGATTTTCAAAAGACTGGCTGGACTGAGGTAAGCTCTTTATCACCTATTGTAACACCGGGAAACAGAATGGTCACCCCTAGGTGGCCCTACGTGGTAGGCAACTATTAATAATAACATGCCTAGGACAATAGAGCAGCTCAGAGTTAACATGAAATCATTTTAAGTAATTTCTATAGGTTTCTTCAAATCTTCGAAATCTGAGATGTCTCTCTGAATTATTAGATACACGTTCATTTACCAAGTGTTAGCTTATTAGATAAGTTTTCAAGCCCAGCTGTACATTACAATCATCTGAGGAGCTTAAAAATGAAACAAAAACAATAAAACAATAAAAAAATAATCTACCAACCATCCCCTCATCCCAATTTTGGTGTTATTAGTTCAGGATAAGATATAGGTAGCAGTATTTTTCAAAGCTTCCACAAAAGATTCTGATCTGCAGCCAGGGTTGAGAACTACTGGTTTAGTAAAACGTTTGTAACTGGCATATTTGGGAAACCAGCTAAGTATTTTAAGGCAATCACTAATGAAATTTTAGCACTATATGGCTATCCTCAACAACGTCCTACCCAAATAATAAGAAATAAAAGGAAGTCAAACTACATTACTAAAATAACACTGAAAAGTTTAAATTTACGAATGTATCCAAAACTAGTATTCGTGAATAACATTTTGAACACAAGATCTTAAATCAATAGAAAAACCTGATCCGATAAACAAACTACTTTAAATTTATCAGGAGAACAGATGTCAAGGATCCTATCAGAGAGACGTAAAACTTCAGTGGTGGTACAGAGTCAGACTGGCAGGAGGGAAGGTGGCATGGGAATGACCACTGTTACCATTGTTTCTGTTCTGTGAAGGGCACTGCTACGGACTCCAAGAAAGATTCCCCTCAATCACACTTAAGGTCAAGTAAAGCATTCCAAGTAATATTAATGAAAGCATAAAAAATCTTGGTCAAGAGAAATCAGTGCATGTAAATGATAACTGTACATTTCTATCGGTGTCTCAATCCAATATATTCAATAAAGCAAGCTAAAAGTAGTTGCTATTTACTAAGTATTTGAGCAGCATGTACCAACAGCCTCCCAATCCTTAAAAGAGTAGAATTTTCAGTTTTGCTCCACCCTAGATTGATGATGTACTAAGCTTCCCACCTAGAACATTTCAATATTACCTATTATGAGAGGAAAACAAAGGTCCAAAACAGGTGAACTGGATGGGTTTAAAAAATAAGAACATCTGATTTTGTATACATTCCAACACCTCTCTAAAGCTGACTCAAGTTGTGAACACCCACTTTTAGAAATAAAGTATACATGTGACATAATTCAGATTAAATTAGAATTTATTTTTTTAAATAAAAGAGGTTAATAAAGTCTTGTTTAATTAAGAGAGTTTAACATCATAAAAACTCAATAACTCTCCTCTCCTTATTCCCAGCTAAATAATTTTCCATTTGTTATTTTGCTTCTTACCTCCATCTGGTTTTTCCCCCCATTTGTTGAATTCAGTGGGTTTTCCCCCCAACTCATTTTCAGTTTCTTCCTGATTCTTGATTTCTTGATTTCTTTCTCTGAGTCTATCTATGGCTCTACTTATGTCCATTTTACTGAAAGTCAGTCTCTATTCACGTGTCTGAAACAGACTATGAAAAATAGACTACAAGAAACAATGCACTCCTTTCTTATGTTCCCTCTTCTCTGTAAAATCACACTCCCCCTTTTGGGACTACTTTGCATTCTCTCCTATACCTTACTATAATAAGCTATATGAAAAATCTTTGACACATTAATATATAAAAAAATAAAAAATAAATAAACAAAAGAAAACCTGATGTATCCTATACTGCTGAGAAATAAACAGAAAGTTACAATTGGTTGAAGGTTGCCTAAATTTACAAATAAAAGTAGTTCCTGACTTACAAATCAGCTGCCCTAAATGCTTACTTAAAAACTGGTTATTTTAAACTCAGGCATCATTTTTTCTTATGAAGTGTTTCGGTTTTCAAAGTCTACACAATCCACAACATAACTAAAATATTGTACATTTGCAAGCAAAAAAAAAAAAAAAAAA